CTGGTACCGGCCACCAGAGCTGCTGTTGGGTGCTACAGATTATGGAGTGGGCGTGGACTTGTGGAGTGCCGGATGTATCCTTGCCGAGCTGCTGGCTGGGAAGCCTATTATGCCGGGACGGACCGAGGTTAGCTATGGAACACTTGCCTTTTTCCCACAAATGTTACTAAAGTTGATTCTGTCAAGTGTGATTTTGCTGGTGTACTGTTCATAGCTTGTCAATCATTCCATGCAAACCTCGTTAACATTTTAAGGCAGGTCTCGTGCAAGATGGCCTTGCTGATGAAAATGATATACAATTTAGAGCATGTTCAGATAGAATAAGCACTACTTCCAAATGTTGTTCTTTATCAGGGGCCGACCCAGAGAGAAATTGACCCGGTGTCTCACTGTAAAACCACACATATTATGTTGTTCTTTATCAGGGGCGGAACCAGAGAGAAATTGACCCGGTGTCTCAGTGTAAAACCACACATATTTCCCATCCAAAAATGTGGTGTCACACACTATACTATACACAAAAATTACCAAGAAAACAATCTTGCACCCGTGTCCTGTGCACCCGGGTAGTTGAACCTGGGTACGCCCCTGTTCTTTATTGGTCATCGGGCATAACAGTTTTCCTCGAAATGTGGCAACATAGAACATGGTGAAGAACAATTTTTATGTTATCACTGCTATAAAAACCACTGGAGTAAATGTTAAAGATTATTCTAGCTCTTATTACTTTGTTATAACCTTTACTCTTTTATCATATATGCCCTTTGGTCCTATAAAAGCTGTCATTTTGGACAAGAATGGAGTTGAAATTTTGGCTACCAGTATCTTTGCAAATATTTAGACTGCATACTTGAAAATCATACGTGTGAGTTTGTCTCAGAAAGTTTAGTGGAAATGCTAAAGCATACAGAATATGTGTGGACAGGGGTATCACCAAAGAGCTAGCTGTGGACAGGGGTGCGTGGAAGCTTGCTATCATGTGCCAGAGCCATGAGTTGGTTGCGAGATCTTATGAGTTTCACCTCTAGCCTACCCCAACTTGTTTGGGACTAAAGGCTTTGTTGTTGTTGTTGTTGTTGTTGTTGCTAAAGCATACCGAATCAGTGCCTAATACTTTGTTGCATGTTTGCAGTTCATATCTGTGATGAATACTTCAATTCTATTTGTGTTACACTTTTAAGTGATATAGTAATACTTTATCCCCACATTATTTTAATTGTATACTTACAATGTTTTTTAATCATGTCTTCTTTTCAGGTAGAACAGTTGCATAAAATATTTAAGCTATGCGGATCCCCCGCTGAAGAATATTGGAAAAAATCAAAGCTGCCTCATGCAACCATATTTAAGCCCCAGCAGCCGTACAAAAGGCGAATAGCAGAGACATTCAAAGATTTCCCGCAATCAGCACTTCGGCTGATTGAAACACTCCTATCAATTGATCCTGCCGATCGTTTAACAGCAACTGATGCATTAAATAGTGATGTAAGTTTTCTGAGTATTTACCATTCTTTTCCTATTTGATGTAAATTGGTAACAAGAATGAAATTCTCAACTCGTTGGATATTGACACAAGGATGGCAAATAAATTAGTCATGCAATAGATGGAACTTCTATGCGCCGCGTCAATAAATTAGATTATTGCGTCTTCTGTATCCGTTTAAACTTGCAATATTGATATTTGATTAGTTATATGCCCTCTTGATGTTAGAGTTGAATCCAATTCATTGGAATCTCATTGAGATCACGGTATCTTGTTTTTCCTCTGTTCAGAGTTTCAACTTTTAGGTTCATATAGGTCCATGAAATTATGCTCGAAATTTGTCTAGAGTTTATCATGTGATTCTGATATTTAACATGGTATTTGTAAGACAGAACCCGAATTCTAATTTTGATATAATTTAAGTTTTTTGCCAACACTTTGGTAGAGGGCTAGTTATTTAATTATTTTTTTATGAAGTATCTACATTGCTGCTCCTTGTTGTTACACCGTATTTGATAACTTACATCTATTTACACTACCAACACAGTTCTTTAAAACGGAACCTCGTGCTTGTGATCCATCAAGTCTGCCCCAATACCCACCAAGCAAAGAGATGGATGCAAAACGAAGAGATGAAGAAGCTAGACGGTTTGTCATCCTAACACTCCTTCCTTCCCTTAGAAACTTGTGTTGATTTTCTGCATTTGCGTTTGCCTTATCTTTGTGGATGCTCTAAAATGTCATTAAGCTCTTCACAACATAGAAATGTAAACATGTAAAGTATAGTAAAAACCAAAGTATCAAAAAACTACAGTAATTTATCCTGTAGGTATCAAATACCGTGGTTTTGACACAACATAATATTTCAGAGTATTCACGATACTGAGAACCTGTTTGGTGCAGCGACTTAAAAATGCTAGCTAGCGAACAATTCAGTTTACCAGCGTAGTTGCATGCCTGACCAGACTAAGAACGGCCATGTACACAGCAATAGAGCAGCCATTTTTCTAGCTAGCTAGTCGTTGCCATCTGGATGCATAAGAACGGAAGATAGCACAAAGTGACCTCCACTGAACACCAACGCTCAGGGCTTGTAGGTTACCAAAGAGGGCACCCGGCAGCATGGCGTAGCCGGCAGCAACTTCACCATGTCATAAAGCTGCACAAACTACAACCGCACAGCCAAGCTAGACGCATTGCATTGTTCTTTTCGGTTGCTCAGTTCTAAAAAAAGAGGTCTTGAGTTCTTTTTTTTATGCAGAGAAAAAACTGCAGTTTTGCCGATATTGTAGTATTAAAACCACAGTTTTTAGGGGCAATCAAACAGCTCACTGTAAATAAAACTGTGATAATCAAAAAAACTATAGTATTCACAGAAAACTTAGAAAATACTTTGCTACCAAACAGGGCCGTAGTGGTTTGAGAAAGCATGCACAGTCAGAGTCATATGGCATAGATGGGCCGTTGAAACAAACTAGCATTCGCCCGTGCGTTGCTATGGAACCACAAAAATAATTGCACTTGCACTTGCAACAATGTGGAGAAAAGAAATTCAATCAAGCAGGCAACGCTGCACTTGCGTAACCACAGTGACCATGGGAGCACCATGGTAAGATTTGCAGCGGCATACCCGTGGTTGGATTTTGAAATTTGAAAGTTAGGACAATGGAAATTTGGAGTAGCAGTCGAAGCATGCGGATTGGGGAGGAGCCGCTGCAGGAAGAAAATCCTCTGGTGGATTGACTGGCTGGTTCATGCCGCGAAAAAGAATAATGTAATGTCATGTACTTATAAAATACTCCAATTTATATAAGATAGTAGAGAAAAGAGTGCCGAAGAAATTGTTGGAAGTTATAGAGTAGAGTTAGGAATACAGTTACAGGAGTATTCTAAAATCTAGTTTGCCGTAGGAGCCTACTTCTGCAGAATGCTGCGATGAACTTGATAACAGGAAAGCATAACTTGACAACACTGTACAGCACAGCAGGATATAAGGAAGAAAAATAACATTTCTTTAATTCAAAAGGTAACTTCAGTGGGTGCTAGCCGTATACTTATTTGTAGTACTAAAAAGTAAGTCTCGACTATCGTGCCAACTGCCAAGATTCCTGTATTCCTGGGAGCTTGTTGGGAATAATTGCTTAGACATCATCATGAGTCATGCTGTCATATAACAATTTGTCTCACCTTTCTGGTGTATATTTAAAGCTTCTTTCCGAAAATATTTGTAAATATCTTCTATTTCTCCACCTCTTGACCTTGTTCATTGGCTGATATAAGCTTGAGCTTTGGCACTGTATAAATTGCTTACTGGCTTATTCATTGGATGAAAAACAGTTTAAGAGCTGCTGGTAGTAGACCTAATGGTGATGGAGCTAGGAAGACAAGGACGCGGGATCGGCCAAGGGCTGTTCCAGCACCAGAGGCAAATGCTGAACTTCAAGCAAATATCGACGTATGTCAAGTTATCTTGGTTCCCTACCAGTTACAGTTTCTCATTTCTGCATGAGCCTTTTTCTCTGCTTGCCATGTCCGCTGTTGCAAATGCTAATCTGGACTCAACTTTACCCTTTTACAGAAAAGAAGGCTAATAACGCATGCAAATGCGAAGAGCAAGAGCGAAAAGTTCCCTCCACCACATCAAGATGGTGCACTCGGCTATCCGTTGGGTTGTTCGAATCACATGGAACCTACATTTGAGCCCCCAGACCCGTCTTCATTCAGTACCGTATTTCCGTACGACAAGACTGCCGTGCCTACTTGGTCTGGACCGCTGGTGGACCCTCCTGGGGGCAACCAGAAACGGAAACACAAGTCCGGACGCTCTTCGAAACAACCATCAACTGCCCGTGCTCGGTGATACATTATGTGATATTTGGTGCATAAGAAATTCTTCAATACGGACAATTTACTCAGCAACAGTTCCTGGAAGCTGGGGAGATCTGATTATACGACCAAGGCAAGCAGCGATGAATTTTTTCAAGATCCATGAATTCATTCCATGTACGGATTCTTTTCAAACCGCAGTGTATAGATGGGAGAGAGGGAGCTCAGTTAGTCGAATTCTGTACATTAGGTTGTCCTTTTTCATTTGTTACAAGCAGCTATATGTCATGTTAGATTCGTTTGAGTGAGTAATGGAACTTTTAGGTCTACTTGGCATGCCACTGCAACTTACTGTTAACTCTTACTGCAGTTATATTTCATGTTAGATTGGACACTTCTTAAGTTATGTTTCATTGTTAGATTGAATATTTCTCAAGTTATGTTTCATTGTTAGATTGAATATTTCTCGAGTTATGTTTCATGTTAGATTGAATATTTCTTTAATCTGATGTTTTGTCCAAGCTTTTTGTTTTCCCTTTATGACTTCACAAGTTGTAGATTCAGACAACTTGGACATTAGTTTATAAAAAAGTTGTCGCATTGTCCTTCAGTTCTTCAGCAAAATGCTGACATTTAACAATTTCAACTTCGGGCAATATTTCTGCACATATATGTTCTACTTCCGTGCCTGTCACCGTGGGGTAATGCGTGCCCGAAGGTTGTATCTCCTCATGGCGATCGGCGCTGAGAGTGAGTTTTCGCCGATTTCTTCCCGGAAACCGTGGCCCTTCCTGCAGATGTCATCTTCCCGGAGCACGAAGTCCGGGTCGACTTCGCTGTCGACGTCGTCCTGCAGCTCGTCGAAGACCCACGAGTAGTCGCTGAGGCTACTTTCATCATCACTGCCTGTCCCCCATGGACACATCTTGTCTCCTGGACCAGAGGAGGATGATAAGTACTTACTAGTAGTTCAGATTCGGCGCCAGCATTACGTTTCAAAATCCAAACACCAGTTGGCGGGCAAGGGACGGCGGATGAAAAGCTCACCGGCGGCGTTGTCTTCGATCGCCCGGACTTTCTCCACCAGCGTCTGGAGCAGCTCATGGTTCAGCACCTCGTAATCCCTGCAGCATAAAAATGGAAAATCAGATGAGATCAACGTACTGGTACTGTGACGCCGCGGTTCAAGATCGGGATTCCACGGGCTGCCGTACTTGAAGGCGAAGATGGCGTGCAGGATCTGGGCGGCGGCGGCGGCGAGGAACGCCGACCGGAGCAGCAGCACCTTGGACACGACCCAGAACGGCCTGCTGAGGTCGTCGTCGGCGCCCCCCAGCCTGATGAGCGCGACCTCCACCACGAGCGTGATGCACAGACCTGGTTTGGTCAAATCCAAGAAACGCATGAAGAAATGATCCGATGGAGCGAAGGAAACGATGATCGGAGTCTGCAGAAGATGTGTGTTACCGAAGTAGAGCTGGCCTCTAATGGCGAAGGTCTGCTTGGCGCTGGTGAGGAGGTAGAGGAGGAAGACGACGCAGCTGTAGAAGACGAAGGCCTTGATGAAGCGCGAGTGGAGCACGTAGAGCTTGTCCAGCGCCGCGAAGATGCTGGCCTGCTTCGCGCTGAACTCCTCCTGCATGCATGCGCATCGACCGATCGAGCTCCGGATCAATGGCGGTTCAGCACGTCTTGCAAACCAGAGTACCAGACCAGAGGAGGGAGAAGAAGACCTGGGCCTGGAGGATCGACTCCGAGTTGCGCATGAGGAGGTCGTGGGCGCGCCGGAGCTGCTCCTGCCGGGACAGCAGCTCCTCCTGCTGCTGCCGCCCGAACCGCGCCAGCCTCTGCATCGCCTCCCTGCTCTCCTCCAGCGCCCGGCTCAGGAAGCCGTGGAGCTCCCCGAGCGCCCGCGTCGCGTTCGCCTGCCCCTCCAGCAGCTCCCGCTGGTTCTCCAGCGACTGCCCGGCGGCGGTCCCGATCTCCTCCGCGGTGCGCTGCAGGCCCTCCATCCGCGCCGCCATGGCGTCGCCGACGGCCCTGACCTCCCGCTCGATCCCCGCCGCCTCCTCCTTCAGCCTCACCATCTCCTCGCCCAGCCGCGCGTACTCCTCCTCCACCCGCGCCATGCCGGCGTCGATCCGGCCCCGCATCTCCTCCTGCCCTTCCCTCAGCCCCGCCTGCGCCGCCGCGATCTGCCTCGACTGCTCGGCTATGGCCGCCGACTGCGCCAGCACGTCGCCGATCCGGGATTTGAGGTTGTCGGACGCGGCGGCCAGGTTCTCGGTCTGCGACACGATCGACGACATGGAGCCCTGGAGCTTGCTCGACTCCTGCATGATCTGGTCCGACCTCTCCTCGATCGCCGACAGCTTCTCGCTCGCCGCCGCTGCCGCCCGGGTCAGGTCGTTCACCAGCCGCTCCGTGCTCTGCTTGAACGCTTCCGCCCTGCGCACGATTCACAAATCAATCAAGAAGAAGAGGAAGAAGACGATCATGGCGGATTGGATATGATTGCGTACTGGAGCTGGTGGCAGAGGGTGTTGGTCTCGAGGAAGAACTCGAGGAAGACCTTCTCCTCGTGCTCGGAGAGGCGCTTGCGGCAGTGCACCATGCGCGAGCGGTCGTCGCAGGGCGGCAGCGGCGGGCGGCCGGAGTCCTGCTGGTAGCAGGCGCTGAGGCGCCACGCGAGCCTCGACTGGCGCTCCTTGTCCGCCATGATGTGGGCGCAGCTGGCGAAGAGGCCGCGGTACGCCTCGCCCCAGCAGGAGGCCGGGCCGGCGATCCTGCGCCGCGCGCCGTCCAGCAGCTCCACGCCCCTCGGTCCGCCGCCGCCGCCTTCCATCGAGAAGTCGACCACCATCCTGCCGCCGCCGTCGCCGCCGTCGTCCGGCAGCGTTGGCGCGGCGACGGTCTGGCCCGTGGGTTTAGGGGAGGAGGAGAAGATGCCCCATGCAGTGGCTGCGGGGCACAGCGACGGCGACAGGATCATCACCGCCACCGCCACCGCAACAAGAAGAGGATGGACTGTGCTTCTCATCTCGAAATGTACCAGTCTGGATGGATGACTCTGAATGATTTTGGGAGTGTGATGTTCAGGCCTGCACTGCGAATTTTTGTTAAGATTGTTACTGTTTCGATCGACGCAAACAAAACAGACGCGCTGTAAACTTGTGATTAAACGGAGCTGCATTTGCATAGACCAAAGCAGGCAAGTTTTGAAGCCCGTTCCATCCAAGCCGTGAATCATCAGTGACACAGACGCATGCCTGCACTAGCAGCAGTAGTAAGCAGTAATTGGTCGTGACGTTCATCTCCGTCGCATGCATTACTCACAGAGCAAACGAATCAACTGCAAAGAGGGGAAGGAACTGATGCGTCGAAAGGTGTAAATCTTGCTTGAGCAAAGCAAACCCTGAATCCAGAAGTTAAACAGATTCTTTTTAGTTAGGTTATAATTAGCGGTGGAATTTCATTTTGCGGTGCTCCTGATCCCTTCTCCCAGATCCAGCTTCTTCTTCTTCTTCTTCTTCTTCTCCGGCGGTGCTTCTCTCTGCCCGTCCGACCAGTCGGCGGCGGCGGCGACCAGGCGTGATTTGCGGGCTCAGAAAAGGCTAAAACGCGCGGCACGCACGGCGGCGTTTCGCGATTCATGGCTCCTCTGCTGCTCTGCATCACGATCATGCAAGGAAGCAAGAAACAGAGCAGTAACGTAGTACGGAACAGAAGCCAGTTACGGCATCCGGCACGTACGTTGGCACGGACGAGCTGCCGCGGCCTCGAGCTCGAACTGAACCGTCGAGATGAGAGTGGGCGGCGGATCGGAGCGAAGGAAGAAGAAGGCGAGGGGGAAAACGAATGAGCCGTCAGCCCCGGGCCGTATTTATGGATGCCCTGGCCGATGGCGGTTCCGCGTCCTTGATCGTTTCGTTCGCGGCAAGACAGGAAGGCGAGTCGGTTCGAGCGTTTCTTTTTTCTTGACTTTGAATTTTCACACATGTAAGAGCATCTCTAGCCGTTCGCTTCACAGGACGCATAAAAATCGCCCCCTGACAAGCCGGCGATACAATCGACGCTGGGGGTGGTTTCGCGCCCAGTCGTCGCCCTCAGGCGCCGAAATTGGCACACTTTTCAGCCCCATTTCGGTGAATAAAGGGCCCATATGCGGTGTGGCTCGCCGTTGTTTGGCGTTCAATTATGCACATAAATTTTTTTATCACATATTTTATCACAGAAATATCAAATACTACAACAAAATAGTACAACAACAAATAGTTCAATACAAATTATATAGTTCAACAAATAAAAACTCATATTTCATCACACGTAGCGCCCGGCGTCGCCCTTGAGCCTCCATAGATGCTCTATCAGATCTTGCTGCAGTTGATGATGCACCTGTGGGTTTCGGATCTCCTGACGCATACTGAGATAGGCAGTCCAGGTTGCCGGTAGCTGGGGATCAACTTCGGCTAGAGGACCCTGCCTGTAGTATGGTTCAGTGTCAAACACTAGGTCTTCTTGCTCGCTCTCGATTATCATGTTGTGCAAGATGACACAGCAAGTCATAATCTCTCACATTTGATCTTTCGACCAGGTCTGAGCGGGGTACCGGACAACAGCAAATCGAGATTGGAGCACACCAAATGCCCGCTCGACAATCTTCCTGCAAGCCTCCTGAACCTTCGCAAACTAGGCGTTCTTGCCTCCTGGCACATGGTTTGAGATCGTCTTCACAAATGTCGACCATCTGGGATAGATGTCATCAGCTAGATAGTACCCCTTGTTGTAGTGCCGCCCATTGATCTCGAAGTTCACCGGAGGAGAATGACCTTCAACAAGCTTGGCAAAGACAGGAGAGCACTGCAGCACGTTGATGTCATTGTGAGTTCCTGACATACTAAAGAAGGAGTGCCAAATCCAGAGGTCCCGTGTGGCCACCGCCTCAAGTACCACACTGCAACCGCCTTTGGCGCCTTTGTACATCCCCTACCAAGAAAATGGGCAATTCTTCCATTTCCAATGCATGCAATCGATGCTTCCAAGAATCCCAGGAAATCCTCTTGCTGCATTCTGTGCTAGGATCCGAGCAGTGTCTTCCGCATTGGGTGTTCTCAAGTATTACGGTCCAAACACTGCCACCACTGCCCGACAGAACTTGTAGAAACACTCTATGCTGGTGGACTCGGCCATGCGCCCATAGTCGCCGAGTGAATCACCGGGAGCTCCGTATGCAAGCATCCTCATCGCTGTCGTGCACTTCTGGATGGAGGTGAATCCAAGTGCGCCAGTGCAATCCATCTTGCACTTGAAGTAGTTGTCGAACTCCCGGATGGAATTCACAATCCCGAGGAAGAGCTTTCGGCTCATCTGATAACGGCGCCGAAATATTTTCTCGCCGTGAAGTGGAGCATCGGCGAAGTAGTCGGAGTAGAGCATGCAGTAGCCTTTGAAACGATGCCGATTCTTTGCTTTCACCCTCCCCGGCGCCGAGCCACCTCGCCGCGGCTTTTCATTGCTCGCCAGCAGCTGGGCGAGGGCGGCGAGCACCATGAGATGCTCTTCTTCCTGAACGGCGGCCTCGGCTTCCTCCTCCAGCAGCGCGGCGAGCGCTTCCTCATCATCCGAGTCCATCGCCGAGGCAGGCAAATCGCCGAACACCTTGCGCCCGGTGGGCGTGTCCCCGCCGCTAAACTGCCCCTCCGCGGCCGGAAACGCCCAACTGGTGCTGGAGGGGCTGCCGCGGCGAAGCTCTGCTATTTTTTCGGCGTGGAATGGCTATCTAGTGGTGAAAGGCGGCGGGCTGCACCGGGATAAAGCTACTGGCAGCCGAGGGCGCGGGGGGTGGGAGGCGAGTCGGGGAAGAAAACCTTGACTTTTCCCCTGACGGCGTGGGCCAGCTGCGCTTTTCCCTTGCGCCGGAGCCCCCAACTGCCCCCCAGTGCGCCGGGTTCGTCCTGTGACCGCCGGACGGAAAAAAGGCCCGAGCCGATGTTTTTGGCGTCCTGGGGGCGCGACTGGGTCGTTTTTTGGTGCCGGCGTGGCAAAAACGCCTGGGGAGGGCCTGTTGGGGGCGCGGCTGGAGATGCTCTAACCCGCGCGTCCCTTCCCATCGAGGGAGCACATTGAATCTGGGCATGCATGCAATGTCGACAAAAAGATTCTTTCTAGTCTAAATATTCAAAATGTTTTATCTCTCAGACGGAAATTTTGAACAGAATCTATCACTCCTGGGCTACGTAACTTATTATGTTTAGGGCAACGCTGGGCGCCCGCGCCGGCCCAATTACTCGGCGGTCGGCCCAAAGCGGTAGGATCTAAACGCGCATAACCGTCAAATCTGACCTCGCCTTTCTCCCATCGTCAACCTCCCGTGCTGGAAAAGGGAGAGGACCGCCTCACACGCGCTGACCGCCCCCGCTCGCGCCGACCACCTCCCGCGTCTCCTCATCTTCCTCACCACCGGCTGCTGCCCTCGCCGCCGGTCGCCGCCCTCGCCGCCGGTTGCCGCCCTCACCTGTGTCACCTCATGTGTTTCTCCCCTTTGTGGATGCAGCAGCATGCGCCCATGGTTGCAGGCTTGCAGCTCCGGTGACACCGCTCGCAACTCCAGTGCATGACAGCCACGCTCCGGTGACGACGGTTCGCCGGACACAAGCCTAGACGGCGAGCTCACAAAAGGATGCATCTCTCCTCGGATTGTCTGTAGCAGCAAAAATGTCCACCGGTTGTAGCAAAAAAAGTATGGTTCCAGCAAAAACCAACATGTAGCATCTTCATCTTGCCCACCCCCGGTCACCAGGTTGAAGCTTTTCGCATATATGATTGAAGCTTTCTCTGTCAACGGTTGCAACTTTTCTGATTGTGCAGAGTCTGGTTATAGCTTTCTCTCTCAATGGTTGAAACTTTTTCCCTCTACAGTAGAAGCTTTTCTATAAATGATTGAAACTATTTTCATGTCAGCGCCTGGTTGAAAAGCTTTCTCCATGGTTTCGGTTGAAGCTTTTTTCATGGAAGGGTGTAGCATTTTTTGTCGATGGTTGTAGTTTTCTGTGTACAAAGCATGTAGCAAAAACGTTACCGGTAGTAGCAAAATCAAGACGTGCTCGAAGCAAAAACCATCGTCTCATCGTCGCCACGGTCGCTGCTCGCTGGACCGGTGGTCACAGTTCATAGCTCTGGCCTGTCACCGGTTGCAGCACCTCAGCTTCGCCCCGTCGTAGCAAATTTTCTTACCGGTTGTAGCACTTTTGGTCACTGGTTGTAGCACACTTGGGGGTCGTCGGCCATGGTCGGGGAGTGGGCGCTGGTTTCTAGCAAAACACAAAAGGCTGGTTGTAGCAAAACTGGCGATGGGTTGCAGCTTCGCCGTAGCCGGTTGTAGCTTTTCACATCGTTTGTAGCTTATGTCGCCACCGGTTGAAGCCTTTTCTGTTGTCAGTTGAAGCTTTTTCCATCAACGCATGTAGCTTTCTTAGACGCCGGTTGCAGCTTCTATGGGACCGACCCAGCTTTCATCGTCCTTCTGGTTGAAGATTTTTTTATCGCTAGTTGCAACACCTGTGGTCGCCTTCACCAGCTCTGGCGGATGCTGGTTGTAGCACCTTCTTCAGGTGCAGCTCCGCCCATGGACGCAACTTCGCCGGCCACGTCCGTTGCAGCTCCAGCCGTCACGGAGCAGTAGTAGATAGAGGTGAGAGAGGGAATAGAGGGGAGGACACTGGCTCAGGGGTTGGCTTCGGGGATACTCGCCGGAGAAGAAGAGGGGGGGGGGAGGGCTCATCGGAGGAGATCGCCGAGCAGGACTTCCATGGAAGCTAGGATGAGGGGAGAGAAAAAAGACCAGGTAAAAGGGAAGGAGAAGGATGCGGGAGATGGAAGGTGGGGAAAAAAATAACGTGGTGGACCCGCCTATCCCCAACTTCAGTCGTTGTAGCTTCGCGCGCCTGGACGCGACCGGCCGAAAGCTTCGGCCGGTGCGCCGGTAGTAAACGTTTTCCTTATGTTTATGACACGTAAGTTACCATGTTATTCAAACAGAATCTAGCAGACAATAAAAAAAAGTTCCCAACCTTCTCCCATGTGCACATGCATGCATGCACTAGAGTAAAAAAAACTAACGTCATCCTATATTATCCTCATTTCGAAAATCCAAAAATGTTGTGTAGCTTAAACCATCGGTCCGATTCAAAATTCAATTTCATCATCAAATCTGCCAGGACGAGATCTTCGAAACTAGATGTCGTGTTGGTATCTCCCGACGACGTTTTTTGGTTTAAAAGTTATCATGCCCGAAGGTACCCAAGTTACCAGACCCGTGATATGTAAGTTAGCACACCTTTTATGAGAATTTACTGGCACGCCGCTAATATATAAATCCTATAAGGGGTTACTGTATTAATTTCTATTTACCCCCAAAAAATTGATGATCACAAAAAACCCATCTTCCTCTATAATCCAATTGACGGTGGGAGGCAACCGCCTAAACCTTCACGCCTTTGCGCGTGCCAGCCATCATCAGTGGACGTCCCGCCTCGCTGCCGTCCATGCCATGTCGCAGGCAGCCTCGGCGTACCCGTCGTGACGGCGGCTGCATCATCGTCGTTTCCCACCCATGCATGCCTCACCTCACCACGGACCGACACTCATCACCTCGTCATTGCCTGTCTCCACCTTAATGCCGTCAGCCTGCCTCATCGCCGCCATCAGTGCCTTCTATCATGTAAGAGAGAAAGTGAGAGGGATTAGAGACTGGCCAGTGGGGGCATATATGTCAGGCCTGTAAAATATGGAAGCGTATCTACCTGCCGTAGCAGACCGCGGGGTTATATTGATTGAGGCGATAGCTGGCCGTGGCATACAAGTTACGAACGATCGCTAGGATGTGTCCTGGTTCGAGGAGACCGATACAAGAGGGAGAACAGAGAAAGAGATAGAAAGAGATTACATGTTTAAACCCAAGCTACCTATCCGTCTAATATCCTCCCTCAAACTAAACTTAAGGAGCTTTGTCTAGGTTCAGATTGTATTTGAATTCATCCAGTCATCTCATTGTGAGAGGTTTAGTAAATCCATCCGCTAGCTGATCCCCTGTAGGAATGAATCTGATGTCTAGTAGCTTTCGAGCTACTCTTTCCCTGACAAAATGAAAGTCAACTTCTATATGCTTTGTACGTGCATGGAATACATGATTTGCTGAATGATAGGTTGCACCAATATTATCACACCATAACCTTACGGCTTGTGGAGTTTTTATTCCCAGTTCATAAAGCAAAGTCTGAATCCACATGATCTTAGTTGTAGCATTAGCAAGAGCCTTATACTCTGCTTTCGTACTGGATCTTGAAACTGTAGCCTGTTTCCTTGCATTCCATGACACAAGATTCGATCCCAAGAACACAGCAAATCCACCTGTAGACCTTCTATCATCAACACACCCTGCCCAGTCTACATCGGAATATGCACTTACTAGCATAGATGGCGACTTGATAATTTTAATTCCAAGTCCCATTGTAAACTTTAGATACCTCAAGATTCTTTTAACTGCAGTCCAGTGAACTGTACTAGGATGAGTTGGCTGAAGCATCAATTCAATAAGGCTAAGTATAGAAGAACTTGTATTGGAATTTGTTACACATATGAAACCCAATACATTTTTGGAAGAGCTCTAATAAACACTCACATGGGAAGGTTTTTCGGAAGCTGTTGGAGATCCTCTAAAAGGGACCATCTTAAAATTCATAGAGTTGCAAAGTTCAATTGTTGTAGAAGTGCATACAAATGAAATGTTAAATTTTAGTATATTAGATTTGTAATGCAGCTAAGGCAATTTCAATGTTCGCATTTTTTTAAAAGTTACAAACTATATTTGTGACATGTTAATTTATGGGTTGTGCTTCTTTTAATTCTACTTCAATATGTCTTTCCTCGAAAAGACTCGCGTGTCTTTCCAAGAAGAAATATCCCTGCTTGCTTTTGTAACACCAAACATCATGTACGTAGAATCCATTTTTGAGAGACCTGGTCAACCAGCCTACATGCTCTGCAAAGATTTCAAGCTACTGCTGATTGTAGTACGTACATAGAACGTACATTTTGTTTTACGAAGAGAATTAAATCTATTATAAAAATTCATCGGAAATACAAAATATCTTACATAATAAAAATTATGTTAGATCTTCCATTTTCTCCAGTAAGCTCGTCAAGTGACGCTGCTGATTGTAAATGTAAATGTAGTGCAGCAGATAGGGCAGCGGACTAGTCTTCAACACCTTGGGATGGTGCGGGCACGGAGGGGCTGCTTCATGACCGTGGTGAACTCCAGTACCTCGGCCATGTCCACCTGCTCCCCGTCCGCCGGCGGCAGCCACTCCAGCTCCCTCACGAGGCCCGCCACCAAGTACGCCACGTGAAGCATGCCGAGCGTGTACCCGGGGCAAATCCTGCGGCCGGCGCCGAACGGCATCATCTTGATCTCCTTCCTCCCGGTGATGTCCACGTCGCACCCCTCGCCGCCGTCCAAGAACCGCTCCGGGCGGAACTCCCGCGCCGCCGTCCACACCGTCTCGTCGCGCCCCACCTCCGCGCCCCTGGGCACCCTGTAGCCGCCGATCTCCGCGCCGTCGCTCTGCACGCCGTGCGGGATGAGGAAGTGCACCGGCGGATGCAGCCGCAGCGCCTCCAGCACCACGGCGTTCAGATACGGCAGTGCCTGCAGGTCGCCCTCGCTTAGCTCCGGCTTGCTCCTGACCTCCTCGTAGACCCTGGCCTGCATTTCGGGGTGGTTTACAAGCTCCGCCATGATCCACTCCAGCACGGTCGCCGTGCCGTCATTCCCGGCGCTCAAGAACTCGGAGCACAGGCTGACCACCTCGTCGTCCGTCAGCGGGCGGTCGCCCTCCTCGGCCACTCGCAGCGCGAGGAGGGAGTCGGCGTAGCAAGGCGCCGGCGTCTCCTCGTCCCGCGCCCGCCTGGCGTGGATCAGCGGGACAAAGATCTCGCACAGCCTCCGGCGCACGGCCAGGTGCGCAGCCCACCGCTTGCGGAAGAGCCTCTTGGTGAGGGATGGGCAGAGGTAGAAGATGGGGTAGCTGAGAATGCTACGCACAATCCACAGCTGCAGCTCCTGTATCTCGTCCAGCACCTCCGGGCCAAGCCTGGCGCCGAAGCTCATGTACGCGATAAGCTCGAACATGGCTCGACGGAGCAATGGCCTCACCGTGACGGGCCGCGAGCCTGCGACTGCGAGGAGGTCGCCGACGAGCCCGTCGCGCGTCCGCCGCCTCGCCGGCGCGAAGAGGCTGACACGGGCCGGGTGCAAGTGCAACATCACGGTGGCGAGGTTGCGGCGGAAGAGGCGCCAGTAGGGACCGTACGGCGCTGCATTGATGTTGCGGGCGCCGGAGGTGAACAGAAGTCCCGGCTCGAAGATGTCCGGGCGGTGGGCGAAGGTCGCGCCGCTCTGGACGAGGACACGGTGAGCGAGGTGGCAGTCGGAGATGAAGACGAGCGGGCGGAATACGCGCACGGAGATTACTGGGCCATGGCGCGCGTGCAGCTCGCGTATGAGCTGAGGAAGGTCAAAGATGGACCGCCGGAGCGCCAAGAACTTGACCAGGAACAGCAGGGCCGGCGGCCCTGGAGGGAGCTCCTTGCCTTTTCGACGGCTATGCAGCATGAAGACGAGAGAGAGGGTGCTGAACAGGAGCAGGGATTGCCATGGCCAGCTCGTGAGCTCCATTATTGAAGCTCTGGATCTGACACTGGGCTTTGGTGTGGTCTGTATGTTGCAGTGTATCTCCAACGTTGCCCACAAACCGAGCATGCTGTGGATCGGGAGATCAGCCGTCGACACGGATGCGGGAGCCAGTCATTTAAAATTATCTGCATACTGCCCGCTAGCAAAATAAATTTGAAATTCAAATCCGCCTGAAAAGATCACATCATCGCCCAAGCACAATAAAAAGAGGCAAATATGTTTAGTTTTTTACATGCCCGATCATAGAAAAAATACTAGTCCGGTAGTTCATGTTGGAAATATGCCCTAGAGGCAATAATAAAAGCATTATTATTATATTTCTTTGTTCATGATAATTGTCTTTATTCATGCTATAATTGTGTTATCCGGAAATCGTAATACATGTGTGAATAACAGACACCAACATGTCCCTAGTAAGCCTCTAGTTGACTAGCTCGTTGATCAATAGATAGTCATGGTTTCCTGGCTATGGACATTAGATGTCATTGATAACGGGATCACATCATTAGGATAATGATGTGATGGACAAGACCCAATCCTAAACATAGCACAAGATCGTATAGTTCGTTTGCTAGAGTTTTTGCAATGTCAAAGTATCTCTTCCTTCGACCATGAGATCGTATAACTCCTGGATACCGTAGGAGTGCTTTGGGTGTATCAAACGTCACAACGTAACTGGGTGACTATAAAGGTGCACTACAGGTATCTCCGAAAGTATCTATTGTTTTATATGGATCGAGACTGGGATTTGTCACTCCGTATAACGGAGAGATATCACTGGGCCCACTCAAGTAATGCATCATCATAATGAGCTCAAAGTGACCAAGTGTTTGGTCACGGGATCATGCATTACGGTACGAGTAAAGTGACTTGCCGGTAACAAGATTGAACGAGGTATTGGGATACCGACGATCGAATCTCGGGCAAGTAACATATCGATTGACAAAGGGAATTGCATACGGGGTTGATTAAATCCTCGACATCGTGGAGCATGTGGGAGCCAACATGGGTATCCAGATCCCGCTGTTGGTTATTGACCGGAGAGCGATCTCGGTCATGTCTACATGTCTCCCGAACCCGTAGGGTCTACACACTTAAGGTTCAGTTACGCTAGGGTTGTAGGGATATGTATATGCAGTAACCCGAATGTTGTTCGGAGTCCCGGATGAGATCCCGGACGTCACGAGGAGTTCCGGAATGGTCCGGAGGTAAAGATTTATATATGGGAAGTCCTGTTTCGGGCATCGGGACAAGTTTCGGGGTTATCGGTATTGTACCGGGACCACCGGAGGGGTCCCGGGGGCCCACCGGGTGGGGCCACCCATCCCCGGGGGCCACATGGGCTGTAGGGGGTGCGCCTTGGCCTGCTTGGGCCAAGGGCACCAGCCCCACATAGGCCCATGCGCCTAGGGTTCAAGGGGGCAAGAGTCCTAGGAGGGTAAGGCACCTCCTAGGTGCCTTTGGGGGGAGGGAAACCCCCCTTGGCCGCCGCACCCCCTAGGAGATTGGATCTCCTAGGGCCGGCCACCCCCCCTTGGCACCCCTATATATAGTGGGGGAGAGGAGGGACTTCATACCTTGAGTCCTTGGCCTTTGGTTGCCTCCTTCTCCCTCCCCAACACCTCCTCCATCTCCTTATTGCTTAGCGAAGCTCTGCCGGAGTACTGCAGCTCCATCAACACCACGCCGTCGTGCTGCTGCTGGTGCCATATCCCTCAACCTCTCCTCCCTCCCTTGCTGGATCAAGAAGGAGGAGACGTGGCTGTTCCGTACGTGTGTTGAACGCGGAGGTGCCGTCCGTTCGGTGCTAGGATCTCCGGTGATTCGAATCACGTCGTGTTCGACTACATCATCCCCGTTCTTTGAACGCTTCCGCTCGCGATCTACAAGGTACGTAGATGCATCCAATGACTCGTTGCTAGATGAACTCCTAGATGATCTTGGTGAAACGAGTAGGAAATTTTTTGTTTTCTGCAACGTTACCCAACAGTGGCATCATGAGCTAGGTCTATGCGTAGTTCTTCTTGCACGAGTAGAACACAATTGGTTGTGGGCGTAGATTTGTCAACTTTCTTGCCGCTACTAGTCTTATCTTGCTTCAGCGGTATTGTGGGATGAAGCGGCCCGGACCAACCTTACACGTACGCTTACGTGAGACCGGTTCCACCGACTAACATGCACAAGTTGCATAAGGTGGCTGGCGGGTGTCTGTCTCTCCCACTTTAGTTGAAGCGGATTCGATGAAAAGGGTCCTTATGAAGGGTAAATAGAAGTTGACAAATCACGTTGTGGTTTCACGTAGGTAAGAAAATGTTCTTGCTAGAACCCTACTTCAGCCACGTAAAACTTGCAAACAACAATTAGAGGACGTCTAACTTGTTTTTGCAGCAAGTGCTTTGTGATATGATATGGCCAAAGTTGTGATGAATGATGAATGATCTATATGTCATGTATGAGATGTTCATGCTATTGTAATAGGAATCACGACTTGCATGTCGATGAGTATGACAACCGGCAGGAGCCATAGGAGTTGTCTTTATTTTTTGTATGACCTGCGTGTCATTAAAGAACGCCATGTAAACTACTTTACTTTATTACTAAACGCGTTAGTCATAGAAGTAGAAGTAGTCGTTGGCGTGACAACTTCATGAAGACACGATGATGGAGATCATGATGATGGAGATCATGGTGTCGTGCCGGTGACAAGATGATCATGGAGCCCCGAAGATGAAGATCAAAGGAGCTATATGATATTGGCCATATCATGTCACTACTTTATATAATTGCATGCGATGTTTATTATGTTTTATGCATCTTGTTTACTTAGAACGACGGTAGTAAATAAGATGATCCCTTACAAAATTTCAAGAAGTGTTCTCCCCTAACTGTGCACCGTTGCTACAGTTCGTCGTTTCGAAGCACCACGTGATGATCGGGTGTGATAGATTCTTACGTTCACATACAACGGGTGTAAGACAGTTTTACACAGCGAAAACACTTAGGGTTAACTTGACGAGCCTAGCATGTACAGACATGGCTTCGGAACACGGAGACCGAAAGGTCGAACACGAGTCGTATGGAAGATACGATCTACATGAGAATGTTCACCGACGATGACTAGTCCGTCTCACGTGATGATCGGACACGGCCTAGTCGACTCGGATCGTGTAACACTTAGATGACCAAAGGGATGTCAAATCTGAGTGGGAGTTCATTATAATTTGATTAGATGAACTTAATTATCATGAACTTAGTCTAAATTTTTTACAATATGTCTTGTAGATCAAATGGCCAACGTAGTCCTCAACTTCAACGCGTTCCTAGAGAAAACCAAGCTGAAAGACGATGGCAGCAACTATACGGACTGGGTCCGGAACCTGAGGATCATCCTCATAGCTGCCAAGAAAGATTATGTCCTACAAGCACCGCTAGGTGATGCACCTGTTCTCCCTGCAGAACAAGACGTTATGAACGCTTGGCAGGAACGTTCTGATGACTACTCCCTCGTTCAGTGCGGCATGCTTTACAGCTTAGAGCCGGGGCTCCAAAAGCGTTTTGAGAGACATGGAGCATATGAGATGTTCGAAGAGCTGAAAATGGTTTTCCAAGCTCATGCCCGGGTCGAGAGATATGAAGTCTCTGACAAATTCTTCAGCTGTAAGATGGAGGAAAATAGTTCTGTCAGTGAGCACATACTCACTATGTCTGGGTTACATAACCGCTTGACTCAGCTGGGAGTTAATCTCCCGGATGATGCAAGATGGAGGAAAATAGTTCTGTCAGTGAGCACATACTCACTATGTCTGGGTTACATAACCGCTTGACTCAGCTGGGAGTTAATCTCCCGGATGATGCGGTCATTGACAGAATCCTCCAGTCGCTTCCACCGAGCTACAAGAGCTTTGTGATGAACTTCAATATGCAGGGGATGGAAAAGACCATTCCTGAAGTATTTGCTATGCTGAAATCAGCAGAGGTAGAAGTCAGAAAGGAACATCAAGTGTTGATGATCAATAAAACCACTAAGTTCAAGAAGGGCAAGGGTAAAAAGAACTTCAAGAAGGACGGCAAGGTAGTTGCCGCGCCCAGCAAGCAAGCTGCCGGGAAGAAGCCAAAGAATGGACCCAAGCCCGAGACTGAGTGTTTTTATTGCAAGGAAAGTGGTCACTGGAAGTGGAACTGCCCCAAATACTTAGCAGACAAGAAGGCCGGCAAAACCAAAGGTATATTTGATATACATGTAATTGATGTGTACCTTACCAGTAATCGTAATAACTCCTGGGTATTTGATACCGGTGCCGTTGCTCATATTTGTAACACACAACAGGAGCTGCGGAATAAACGGAGACTGGCGAAGGACGAGGTGACGATGCGCGTCGGGAATGGTTCCAAGGTCGATGTGATCGTCGTCGGCACGCTACCTCTACATTTACCTACGGGATTAGTTTTGAACCTCAATAATTGTTATTTTGTGCCAAGTTTGAGCATGAACATTGTATCAGGATCTCGTTTAATTCGAGATGGCTACTCATTTAAATCCGAGAATAATGGTTGTTCTATTTATATGAGAGATATGTTTTATGGTCATGCTCCGATGGTGAATGGTTTATTCTTTATGAATCTCGAGCGTAATACTACACATATTCATAGTGTAAGTACCAAAAGATGTAAGATTGATAGTGATAGTCCCACATACTTGTGGCACTGCCGCCTCGGTCACATATGTGTCAAACGCATGAAGAAGCTCCATGCTGATGGACTTTTAGAGTCTCTTGATTACGAATCATTTGACACGTGCGAACCATGCCTCATGGGAAAAATGACCAAGACTCCATTCTCAGGATCAATGGAGAGAGCAACCAACTTATTGGAAATCATACATACTGATGTGTGCGGTCCAATGAGTGTTGAGGCTCGCGGTGGCTATCGTTATGTTCTCACCCTCACTGATGACTTGAGTAGATATGGGTATGTCTACTTAA